CGTTATCAGTACGATAGTCTAGCCATATGGCGAAACCTTAACCACTAAGTAAAACCCTAGCCATATGAGAAAAGCGAGATCTCCACCGAAATCCATGATCGATGACATCTCCGATCTCATTCATTATCCACCAAGATAAGTATCACATTATGCTTTTATTTTAGCACGCTTATAATCAGAACATGATTCATAGTAACTGATATATGATAATACACATATATTTAATTATTCTATAAATAAGAATATTAGCATACACATGTCTGATTATGTTGAGATCTGTTTGTTTATTGTCTGACTATTGTTTAATAATTTGTTAGAATTGAATTTACAGTGTAGATCTAGTTCTGGAGTTAAATTGTATTGTATAATACATCCTAGGTAATCACATGAGCTTTTACATTGATCGAATATGTAACTTGGTTATTATTGCATGTCTGTTATGCTTATCTTAATTCTATGTCTGTTATGCTTATCATAATTCCATGTTAATTTCGTATTGCTTATTATCTAGCTCATTGCCATGAAGAAAATCGAAATTGTTCAATAATGTTTTATTGGTTATTGTTTATTAATTACAAAGATGCTAAATCCACACATATCGTAATTGATTTTGGAACTTATTTCATATTTTTGAGATTGGATTTGCATATAAGTTAATATAAGTTAAAACTTTGATTTAAAATTATTGTTCGATGTGGAAGATATGTTTATTTAGATTTAGTTTGGTTTTCTATTCGGTCTAGTCTTTAATTTGGTTATGAGAACAAATAAACTAATAGGTCACTAGGTTCAAAGCCATAGAAGGTTGTGGGAGACTAGAATTATCAATTTATTTTAATTGGATTTCTTGTGGCTTAGTTGTCTGGTTCGTTTTAGTTCTCTCAAACCGAATGCATTATCTACTCTTTCATTATTAAAAAAAAAAAATTGGTATATGCCTTATCGATTCATGCTATTTATCGATTGATGACAGATGAATTGACTCTTGCTTAATCCAACATACTTTGACATCATCTCTATAGTCCGATGCCGTATCCGTCGTATATGTCCCCGACCATCGAGATAAGTATTATTTTATCAAAGAATAATGGCATAGTTACATTACAATCGAACCATACTTTTATATAATAATCGATACATGCTTCGATGTTATCTGATTTATTTTCTAGAATGAAAATCATCAGTTATAATTTGATATAGAAGCGTTGGTTTGATTGGTTGGAAATTATGATGGGTTTTACTTAAGAATTCATTGGTTCCTATTTCTTTATCACAAATCATATGGCATCATGACTTGTTTTATATATTTAATTAAAATCATATTAGAGTTAGATCATGTATGCCCATTGTTAATTGTGACTGATTTGTGCTAAAATTATTTTCGAGTTTTGGGAATATGAAATAAAGAAAAAAAAATTAGAATTTTGATGATTGATAGAAATTGATAAGATCTGATCATAACTAAAATCGTTATGCCATGGATACATAATAATAGGATTTACTTTGTTCATCGGTTTGGTATTAGACTTGATTTGTTTAGATAAAGTTTGTTGCTGCATTCAACTGTTTTATAGCAAATCATTTTATGCTTGATAATTGATATCAATTTGATACTGTATATATTCATAGTAAAATAACGAAAGACATAATAGATTATCATGCTTTACTATGATTGACAAATGATTGCATATTCGTTTGAATGATTAGAATAGGCATGTAATAACCATTCTTATTGATCTATATGTCTTAGTTCATGATATGTGAAGTGCATTGTCCACTTTTTTGAATAATTATTAATCGATCATGTAGTATCATGCTATTAGAGTGAATTTTGAATTAAGTTATGATGCTTAAAGTAACATATTTATTCTCTAATATTGGATTTTATAATAAAAATCATATCGAGATATTTATGGTCCATTTCCTAAAGTGAATGTGATATCTTATATGAAAAAAGAGAGGATCACACTAACAACACTAAGCCAAAGAAGTGGCTATAAAAGTTTTCTTGAGTGGTCAAGACCAAAATGTTTCTTTTAAGAACTTGAATTCTCACCAGAAGTGTGAAAAGAAAATAGCAACAAGTTGATTATGGTCCATTCTTTAAAGTGAATGTGACGTCTTATACATAATATCACACTAATAGCACTAAGACAAAGAATTGGCTATAAAGATTATCCTGAAAGGTCAATATCGA